GGGGCATAGAGGAGAAACAATAATGTACAGTATGTGGAAAATAATGTGTTTTTTTAACCTTAAACCACATAAACACATTTCATTACACCAAATACACAAAATAATGTTATTTTTAGCAACATCATACGACCCCTTTAAATCGGTTCCTCATATGGATTCATTTGTTTTATGATGCTTTTATTACATTTCTGGATCTTGAAAGGTTTGGTTGTGAGGGACTTTCAGTGGAGGATAGGTTTCATGAAAAACGTCTTAATCTATGTTGCAAAGATGAACAAAATGTTTGCAATGACGTGATGGTGAGTAAATGATGACAGAATCATGATTTTGGGTGAACTATCCCTTTAACTCACACCATTATCATGAGATCTGACTATCACTTATCCAATCAAAACTATCTTTCAGTGATGTGATTCCGTAGACCTGTCAAGGCTGTGTGTAAGTGTGTGTTGTGTGTCTGGTGTTTCAGTGTGACATGCGAGAGCCCAGCGTGCTGCGTGTCGCTCCGGTGCCGCTCTACAACTCCTTCACCGATGTTCACCGCTTTATCACTGCTCTGGGATCAGCGCTGAGCGCCAGCGGAGCCCAACACTGACAACCGGCGCGTTCTACTGGTGCCTCGTGAAGTCTGAAGTCTTTTTATTGGCTGCTGTTTAATATGCAATTGTTTGCAAAATAGCTAATAAATGTTTTTCTTCACATCAGCTAATGATCTGAGGGATTTCAAAGGATTCTGTGCCAAAAATCTGAATTATTGTTATATTTCATAAGTTAAAAAGTAGACTTAACATGCATGCTGAAATTAGTCTTTGCTCATCAGACAAATAATTCTGTTCAAATGGTTTAGTTTGCATTGATATAAAAAAATATTCAAAGTAATTCAAAATATTAATAAAAAAACTATAATAGTATCTTAATGATTCTGCAATATGTGTTTTAATTTAGATTCACTTGATGTACTAAAATAACTAAAACTGAAATAAAAAAATAACAAATACAAATATTAAAATATTAAATATTACAAATATAGAAACAATAAACGATATCAGAAACAAAATCAGGGACATTAAAATGACAAACACAAAGAAAAATTATTAAAACTTTTAAAATTAAAAGGGAAAATATAAAACTAAAAACTAAGTCAATTTTACTAAAATTCCATCTGATACAGATAAGCCAATTATTACTTTTGTGTTATGGCCGATAACCAATAACTAGCCGAGAAAAAATAAAATAAAAAATTCTATAATATTTTGTCGAATTAAATGTAAATATGTGAAAATCACAAATTAAATTCAAGTTAGGCATTACATCAATAATGTAAAGTATGACAAATAGATATTCCTTTTTAATTTGCCAGCGTGTTAAATATTAAATTAGTATTTTTAAAAATGTATTTTTATTTTTTTGATGTTGACATAATGGACTGATATCTGGCTCAAAAGCAGTACAGGAATGTGTTCGGTGCAATAAAATAATGAAACCAAGTTTTAAAATTTCAGCAAAGCATCTTTTCACACGAGAACCGTGAAACAGTCATCCGTACTTTGCACTGGAGTGAGTTATTCATTAGTAAACCGTAAAACAAGCCCCTCGTGAGAAAACGTTTGTCCTTCAGAGTGTGTTCAGAAGATTCATTAAACCTGAGGGTCTCTGAGATGACTTGAACACTTTATTTGAGTCTCTTCTCACTCTCTGAATGAATCCCGATGCACTTTAATTCATCACAGAAACAATAAACCATATCAGAAACAAAATCAGGGACATTAAAATGACAAACACAAAGAAAAATTATTAAAACTTTAAATTTAAAAGGGAAAATATAAAACTAAAAACTAAGTCAATTTTACTAAAATTCCATCTGATACAGATAAGCCAATTATTACTTTTGTGTTATGGCCGATAACCAATAACTAGCCGAGAAAAAATAAAATAAAAAATTCTATAATTTTTGTCGAATTAAATGTAAATATGTGAAAATCACAAATTAAATTCAAGTTAGGCATTACATCAATAATGTAAAGTATGACAAATAGATATTCCTTTTTAATTTGCCAGCGTGTTAAATATTAAATTAGTATTTTTAAAAATGTATTTTTATTTTTTTGATGTTGACATAATGGACTGATATCTGGCTCAAAAGCAGTACAGGAATGTGTTCGGTGCAATAAAATAATGAAACCAAGTTTTAAAATTTCAGCAAAGCATCTTTTCACACGAGAACCGTGAAACAGTCATCCGTACTTTGCACTGGAGTGAGTTATTCATTAGTAAACCGTAAAACAAGCCCCTCGTGAGAAAACGTTTGTCCTTCAGAGTGTGTTCAGAAGATTCATTAAACCTGAGGGTCTCTGAGATGACTTGAACACTTTATTTGAGTCTCTTCTCACTCTCTGAATGAATCCCGATGCACTTTAATTCATCACAGCTCTGCTCTTCTCAGGAGATCTCCAGTCTTCCACAAAGACTTACGAAGAGAAACTCGTCAAGCTGAGGATGGTTTCTGTGATGCAATGCGAGTATTTGTTTAGCATGTGTATGAAGACCAGTTAGAAGATCATTTACCGTGTTTTACACACGGATGTCTCTGCAAATGTTTGCTGAACAGGTTTTATTGTCTTGTAATGCAGGAACTTTGACACTTTGATGCAAGTCCATTAATCGTGTCTGTCTCTCCGGATGCCGCCAAGTTTGCATGATGACATTCGTCTGCATTTAGTCATAATTGGACTTCAGCACGAGCTGCAATCATGACTTCACATTGAATCTGCTGCACTCTTTACAACTTTCCAAAATTAACTGAAACACAAGCACAATTGTAATGCATGATTTTACAATTTTCAATTCAGTCACAATTTTTTGCATTATAACTAGTGTTGCAATTAATTTCGACCTCACTGCATGATAAAATATTTTACAACAGCTGGCAGAGACAGTACAGATTAATTATGTTCACAAATACTGAAAAATACTATGCAGCCAAAATATTTATTGTCCAAATATTTATACAAAAAAAATAAAAATTAAAACAAGTAGCTGTCTGTATGAAGTAATGAGTAGGGTTATTATAGTTAACTAAAACTAAAATAATTAAAAAAAATAAATAATTTTTTTTTTACTGAAATAAACAAATACAAATACTTTTGTTATTGATTCCAAAATGTTTCATTCTCATTATTATTTCTCATTATCATTTAGTTTTGCTTGATGTGCTAAAATAACTAAAACTTAAATAAAATTGACAAAAAAACTATATGCACATATTAATGTCAAATGTATCAAAATATTATTATTGTTAATAAAAAATTCTAAAGATTATTGTCAAAAAAATTAGGAACACAACAAAATTACTAAAACTATAACTAAAATGGAAAATAAAAAAACATAATTATAATTATAATAAATATAAAAAACCCTACAGTAGTATCTCAATGATTCTAAAATACTCGTTTTCATTTAGTTTAACTTGATGTACTAAAATAACTAAAACAGACATAAAAATGAATAAATACTATATAGACTTATTAAAACAAAATAAATAAAAATACAAAATAAAAATGACAAAACCAAATTAAAACAAAAATGAAAATGTAAAGGGAAAATATAAAACTAAAAACTAATTTTAAATAAATATAAATAATCCTATATGATTCTAAAATACTTGATGTACTAAAATAACTCAAACAGGCATAAAAATGAATAAATCTTATACATATTAAAACAAAATAAATAAAAATGCAAAATAAAACAAAAATGACTAAAAACGAATTCAAACTATTAATAAACACCATAACAGTATCTCAATAATACTGAAAGCAGAAGAGTTCTGAACAGACTCTACAGATCTCTCCTGGGTTTGTTTGTGCTTCATTCTCTGATCCAGCCGCTTCCAGACAGAATATTCCTGAGCGCCCGTCCCGTCCCGTCCCGTCCTCTCCCTCACGCTCAGGCAAGGCCCAGCATGGGGAGGTGAGGTGCATTATGGGATGTGTCTGGTCTGGAGTCGCACAGCTCACTGCGTTTGCCCGAGTCGCTCCGGCCCAATTAGGAGAGACGATCTTACACGTGTTCCCGCGGCCCGATGCGCGCCGACACTCTTTCTGCACTATTACCTTGACTGATGCCTCCTCCTCAATTAGATGTAATTGGCATATCAATATGCAGGAGTTAAATGGATTAACCTTCTTTAGAGTAACGAGCAGCCTCCTCCGTCTGCGTCCAGGATATCTGCTGTCAGACAAATACTGCTCAATACTGGGTTTAAATGTGTTAGAGCACAGTTCGTGTATGTTAGTAAATATGATTGAGTTTTCTGGAGCTTCTGGACTCTTGTTTGATTCGGTGCGGATTATGCCGCGGCTGCAGGTCAGAGGTCAAGGGTCTGTTGTTGTTTGGGGTCGGTAATATTTTTTAATGTTATTGTAAGAAGTCTCTTCTGCTCACCAAGGCTGCATTTATTTTTTTTTAAATACAGTAAAAACAGAAAAAATTTGAAATATTATTTCAATTTACACTAACTGTTTTCTATGTGAATATCTGTTAAACTGTAATGTATTTCTGTGATGCGCAGCTGTATTTTCAGCATCATTACTCCAGTCTTCAGTGTCACATGATCTTCAGAAATCATTCTAATATGCTGATTTGCTGCTCAAGAAACATTTCTGATTATTATCAATGTTGAAAACAGTTGTGCTGCACAATATTTTTGTGGAAACGGTGATACATTGTGTTTTTCAGGATTCACAGATGAATATAAAGTTCAAAAGAACAGTGTTTATTTGAATTGGAAATCTATTTGTAACATTATAAATGTATTTAATGGCACTTTTGATCAATTGAATGCATCCTTGATGAATAAAAATGTATTTTTAAAAACTGAAATTTTACTGACCCCAAACTTTTGAACTGTACTGTACGTAAATACAAACAAACATTAATTAATTTTATGCTCATGTAATCTAGGCCACACAGGTTACTAGTTAATGTTAAGGTTAACCCATAGTGAAATAGCTATTTTGTGCGTGATTTAGGACGTAGTTTGTAGGTAATGCAGCTCTTGTGCATTTTTAATTTTTTTTTATGCAGGTCCAATCTAACATTGGTTAACTGGTTACATGTAATAAAGGCCTAAAATATAATTACAATATCAAATAATGATATATTTTACAAAGAGACATTAGTATTGGAATCACCAAATCACCGCCAGTCACTCAGAAATACATCACATTAAATAAAACGGACTGTGAATGTTGTTTCATGTGGATTTTAATGTATATATCTGAATAGTTCTGAGCTTTGTAGACAAAGAAAGAAAGAAAGAAAGAAAGAGTGCAGTGATCTGTTAAGTGTGCTCCAGTGATGTGTCCCAAATCAGATAGCAAGAGCTCGTTAGCATGTGAGCTGATTTCCATATTAACGACTCTTCTGAACCTTCAAAGAAATGAATAATTGAGAACAAATGAAATGTTTGGATTGTGGCGGCGCCGAGCACGTTTAATGTTTCATATGTTACTCTCTGGCTAATGACACACGTCTGCGGTCAGCGTGACGAGGTCCGCAGTAATTAATGATGAGGGTGGGCCGCACTGACCTGCG